GTCTTTCCTCCTCCACCACATCCTTTGGTGGATGCTCACGGTGATCAACGCTTTCTAGTGGAGCGTATCTTGAATCACCGTGACGATTCAGGATCAAGGACGAGCTACCTCGTCCAGTGGCGGGGGTATCCACCCTCTTGGAACAGCTGGGAGCCCCGCTCTCAGCTGTTAATGGATGTTGAAGGTCTCGTCCACCAGTATGACGAGACCCATCCGATGAGTCCTGTGGCCCATCGGTAAACACGCGCCCTAGGCGCTTGTAGACGGATTGCAAGTTTGCAATCGCGTCACGCATCTCGTCCGAGAGATGTGCCCTTCCCCAGGGCGAATTTAGGGAGTACACATCCCTATGTGCACGCTGCGAGTTGTCAACACAACTCGCACAAGGGTCTCCCCATGTGAGGCAAGGAATGCCTGCCTCACTCGATAAACAATGCAACCGGTACCTAGCACCGGTTGGCGTTCGCCGTTCGAACCTGAGGCGTGTTGCCTCAAGTTTCTTGAGCCACCCTTCTCGTCCAAAATTCTTTACGTTTTGGACGAACGCGTTCCACGCAGTTAAAAGCGATGTTTTGTCACGCTTTTGGTTGCTATTGTACCATCGATGTCTAAGGAAGACATCGAGATAAAAGTCTTCTTCAGCGCGAAAGTTCTTCGCGCTGGGATCCAAGCCGTGAAGCTCAGTCGCATCGAATAAGGGTATTCGATGGTGTTGGCCTGTCTCGTGAGACAGGCTATTGATGAGTTGTTCGGGCAAACGCCACGGCTTCAACTCATCACGCTTCACAGTGGTACCCTTGTCGGTACCACGGCTCCCAGATTGACGACGGCTCGCGCCATCGTCATCACGCTCGTGCGAAGACGCACGAGCCGGCGGTGGTGAAGAATAGAACTCACCACCCTGATCATCGTCATCACTGCCGAACAGACTGTGATGCGAATCACGAGTCCGTTCGTTCGGCAGTGGCCTTGGCGAATACTGAGGCGTCGCCGGTGAGCGAGACGCCTCTGGAGCATTGCCCGAGTCAGACACGTCTGACTCGCCAGAGTAGATGACCTCCACATCGGGGTCATCGTGCGCACGCGGCGTGATACCGCGTGCACCTGCAGCACCTGTTGCTGCAGGCGAAGAAGAGGCGGCAGACGACGAAGCGTCTGCCGCAGAGGCTTGCACAGCACCAGGCTGTGTGGGTCTTGAGTCACCTCGCATAGACATGTTAACTATGCGAGGTCAAGCGGAAAGTGAGTGGAACGGACCAAACAAGTGCTCCCTGTCCCAATGGTGGCCAACGGGTGGCCTCCATATTTCGATAGTCACACGGTGACTATCAGTTAAGGGGGGTGATGTAACGGGGCAGCCCGTTACATGATATTGTCACTTAAGGAAAGTGACAATAAAGAATATAAGATGGATATTCTTTAAACAATATCACCAAAGTGGTGATATTGAAGGGTCGACCAAAGGGTCTGTTCATTGGTTGATATCGTGATGATATCAACCCACCAATCGCCGCAAGACGCGCGCAATGAGTGGTGACGAGACGTCACCATACATGCAGTTATATTAGTATAATTGAATTAAGTCAAACGAAGAGACAGTAGTTTAAAGACTTAATTTATTAATATAACAGTTCTACTTTTACCCTACCTACGCTTCCTCGCTCGCCACGTGTACGTCCGTCGGGGCACCCAAATCCCTTGCGTTAAGTTACGCAAGGGTGTGCCCCGTTACAAAAACTGTCTTACATTTTATTAAGTCATAAACCTCTTCTTTTTGTCAATTGGTCCCAACTCAATGATGTCAATATACAAACATGAGCTGTGAAGTCTACTCACCACTCGTTGCGCGCGTCAAGCATGGATTGGTGTGTTGATATCATTCCATGCATCTAGTAAGTAGTAGGCCTTAAGTCACTGAAAGAACATCATTGTGTCTTGCGATATTCTCATAGGAAACATTCATTGTCAGACTCCTTATTATCAAATCTTGTAAATGATACTATTGTAACAGGTTCACCCTTACAGTTGGTGCAGTGTTACAACGCACGAAAGAATCATTTTTAGCAAGCGTTTCTTTGTTGTCCTAGAGAATCTGTATTGTGACCAATGCATCAGTGACGAATCATTGTTCAACTTTCATGGCTAAAAAGGCAACTGAGAATACGGCGCGGTACCTGTCTCATACAATCTTGGACGCAAGTCCTCAGCAAAACTTTGCTGAAATCGCAACAAAAGTACTAATGATGTTGATATGGCAAGACGCTTCCTCGGGATACGGTCACAAGACTTTGTAATGATCCTCGACACGTCCTTGACTGCACTTCTTACCGGTTGCAAGAGACATGATAGCTTGCCGACTCAGTATCGCAAAACGTTTTCGTCTGAAACACCGAAATGGACCTAGCACTCGGTACATGCCTAGTCAGTCTACAATACGGGGCCCCCACTTCCGATTGCATCAGTCCAGATCTACAGAATACTCTGCTTATATTTCTCCCTCGTAAGCTGCAAAGTGTGGCCGAATGAAACTGCTCACTTTTTGACAAAAGCGAAACGTTGCATATCGGAGACAGTTGACGTCCGTAACGCATAAAACATTGTGTTTCAGATCTCTTTCGCGTTCTGCGCGGCTACAATCATGAAATGTAAAGACGACAGCAAAGCAGTGGACTAAGAAAGATAACATCAGTTAAAAAGTCGAGTGTTTATTATGGTACCGATCAAACGACGCAAGTGACACTAGACCACCGTATTTATCTTCGACGATGAAGGCATGTATGCATGTTTTTGACAATATACACGAGGTCCGTCTCACGATGCGGTGTATTCGTGATCTATGAAACGAATAAGGAGTGCTTGCGAACATGTGTTCTCATGTTATAATGAGCTTGTTACCGTGCAAAACTCGTGTGCTTCATAAGTTCGCCCGTCAGGGAAGCTCATTGCGATTGTCGTGGCTTCAAACATAAAAATGTCATCGATAAGCTTAACAAGTGGCATCATGAGGCGCTAGATACCCTCCTGATTGTACCAAGTCGACCCACTTTGGAATCATACAGGTCAACGTCGACTAGGGATGCCAAGGAGAACAGTTACAAGCGACCACCTGCATGGCCAACTCCAGCGATAGACCTAGACGTGTTGGCCTTGACTATTACAACAGTAATCCAGACATTGTCACGTTTTCGGTGACCATTGATGTCATCGAGCAATAGATCGCTGTGCGCAAATCAAAAGAAGAATTGCTGCTGTCCTAATGACCAGCTTTGTTCATAGCCAACCTGACGACTTCCCCTTTACAGTACGCTATCATCGGCAACCTTTTCTCAAGTGACAAATTATCATGGAATATGGGCCTTCCGTGAGTGACCAACTACATCAGCAGCTACGTTTTGTGCCTTTGCCTCGCTGGTTCCGCTCCAAGATGCATTCGCTGTGTTTGCATCTACAAACCTTTTGGCTTCAGCAACTCTTGGAGATAGCAAGCTGATGGTTCAGCACATTTGTTATATTGTCGATCTAACGCGCAGTCATGGACATTTTCCACCCTTCTGAGGTCCTTCATTGACATGGCACATACACCTTGGACGATACTCGGAACCGGTATGTATCGATGCGACCACTAGGTGCAGTCCGCTCACGCGTACAAATCTTTCTTTCGTCCTCTTACTTTCATGACGTTCACACCATAGGCACGTGTTCGTCACACCCCATACGAACCTACCTTTCGACATCTTCGTATTGCAAAAGTTTACGCAGCTACGGTCATCCTTTGCATACGTGCAGTACGTTTAGAAGTGCTCTTTTGTCTACCTTGACGCTTGCATTGGAGTCCAAAAGTAAAAGGTTTGCTTGATCTGCGGTTCAGTTTGGTTGTTGAGAAGGCGATGCCACCCGGCTTTCCATGACGAAGCACGTGCCGGATGCAGATGTTTGTTTATCCGAAACTTAGGTAGCATGTAGCTTGTTCGCCTCGACAAGTCACTGAGTGCATGTAAAGCCGGGCAATGACATCGGGCACATCAACAGTACGGCATTAATACTTTGTGCTACCGAGAAGAGGTTGCAAATTTCCAGACAAAGCAGTGATAACGCTAGTCTTGCTGTGTGTGCGCACCTGGCCGACTGCATTACACGATTGCGTTATACAGTAGTAGTTCATTGGCGTCCTGTCTGCGGTACCATAATGGAGAACGTGAGCGAGTTCGACGAAACTTGGGATCACAGAAACGGCGGGCAGTTGGTAGTGGCGCCCCATGCCATCAATTTGTCCAAGGGTACTAACACAGGCTGACACATTCATTCGTTCGTCAAGCCTGATACACAACTGGGCACCCTATCGAGCTACCGGTTCTGGTCTGTACAAGTATGTACGCGCCTACGAGTAAGCGAATAGGTAGTATTGCTGTAGTGCACAACACGGGTCACAAAGAGCGTTCAACATACCATTACTATCAGTATCTGATCTTTCGGTGCACGTAAAGAAGATAAGGTATGGCTTCGGAATAGTTGGAATGCAACACGAAGCAATGGCAATCACGAAAATGCCTTTTCTTCATGGCCACTTGCACACCAGTGGCACCCGTGGGAAGAGCAGCACGCTAGAAACAGCACGCAGTGGATGAATACTATGCGCGCACATGTTTTTTTTGTTATATGCCTGGATATCGTAAGCAGAACTTGGCCAAGACAGGGCTTCTAACGGGAGGCTGGTCTTGCGTGGTGGAACTGAGCTTCTAGTCAATATGTATCAGCTCATGCCCGAATAGCACTGTAGTCGTGGTCCACGTGTGACCACTCGAAAAACAAGTGATTGGATCGACCAGAACAAAGAGTCAACAGAAGCATTGTTTGCACAGCTGCAGGTGTCTCTTTGTGATGTCTGTTGGGATGGTTGATGGCGTACGAGTGCGTACGAACATCGACGTACTTTGCCTTTGCCCTTCTACACGCAGTGAACGTACCAATTGCTCTGTGAACATTCCACTCGAGACGGCAAGTCAAATGCGAGAGCAGCCATGCACTGTCTCGTCCGGGCGATCCAACACCAGCACGTTCATAAGATCGTTGTAAAAGTGCGGGAAGTACTTGCAAGCTCGGGTGCAATCCGGCTGGAAGTTCGTTTCCAAGATGACCGGACGCAAGCGCTCATCACCAGTCTCCTCGTCAGCTTCCCACGATAGCATCACGTCTACACCATAAAGTGCGCGCGACTTCGTGCAGCGGCCTAGGCCAAGTGGAGGAGGGTGCGCTGTCGCAATTTCAAACAGCTTCTTGATCGATGAGCAGATGTCAGTGTACACCACCGACCAATCTTCGCTCGGGTATTCGTTTTCGAATCGGTCGACAAACTCGGCGTTGTCCATAATCCGAACATCATAATCCGAGTAATTCATGACAGTGAAGTGTTTCTCAAAGTCCTGGAAACCGTCCATACTGAACTCTTTGTTCGCAATACGAAGCCAGTAAACGTCGCTCAAGTAAATCTCCAAAGGGTCCGTCGACTTGATCATCACGAGAAAACGAAAGTCAAATTTTCGCTCATCGATCAGCAGCGGGCGGTGAATGTATCTGCATGCAACTTTGGGCCCGGTCTCAGCTATACGCGCGAGGTGCGGGGCATTTTGCGCAATACACGCGTCAATGGAGCGAGCCATGTTCCAAGGCTTACAGATCCAGTGGTTGGCCTCATCATCGTCTTCGCCGTTTTCATGAGCCTTTACGTCGCGGCAGATATACTGCGCGATCAGCTCAGGGAACTCGGTAGTCATATTGTACGTCTCTGCAAGCCAGTCCGGCTGCTCGCCACCGTTGTGCCTAAGCATGAACAAAGCGGCGTCAATGTATGCGGCTTGGATTACAGAGCCACTCTACGTACAGTTTGCACATTTCGTAGAGTAGATCCTTGCACGTGAGAATCTTCTCGTTCGGAAACTGATTGATTATCTGCACGTTTTCATTTGTAATATACTTGTCAAAGTCCATGAGGTGGCGGGTGGACCATATAACCTGCGCATCTGCTTCGCTATCCACAAGGGCAAAGCGCGGATGATTCAAGTTCTCGTGCAATAACTCCAGATCTGTTGAATTCAAGTACGCAAAGTTAGTAAACAGGCTCTGGCACATCACCGACACAAAAACGAAACGCTGTACCAGAATACACGCGAAGAGGCTCCGAGTCTGCTACGATCGTAGAAAGCGGGGCCGATGTAACAGACGTGGTCGAGTCCGAATACGTCTCCGAATCACAGCTCACAATGGTGTGGAATCTCGAGCGAGCATTCTCGAGCGAATATGCCTGCTTACGCTCACAAACTATTTCTCGGAGCTCGTCAACATACGGACACGTTTCGGTGTTACCAGGCTCGTAGAACAGCGCAGCTAACAGCGCCGTGTGCATCGACGCGTTTGCTGCATACTCGGGGAAGTAGTCCCGTGACAAAAAGTCTCCTCCTTCGATAGTTCGCACGGTCCACACAAGTGTGAACGCACAGTGCGACGCGCCGTAGTAAAATGGTGCCATGCGCACGTTGGGATCATCGCTGTGCTCAATGGCAGATCCCACCTCGTCCATCACGTACCAGATCGTCGACGACTGCTCAGGCTTCACGTTGCCAAGACGGTAGGTACTGGCATACCGCCACACGCGATCAGCAACAGCAGCTATACGCTGCTCTTTTGTACAATCTTCTCCCTGCTGCGTGTCGTCTGTGGTCAGCAGCATGAGGCCCTCCATTCTCTCGAGAAGAGACGGGACTGTCTCTAGCTGCTGCTGCACCTTGTCCGCCGTGAACGTCCAGGCATGGTCCACTAGAAACAGCGCTTCGTCTGCGTCAGGCTGCATGGGCGACAAGTCCACATCATCACGCACAACAACGTGCAGATCTCCGTCTTCGTCTCGCGCCAGGAAAAAGAAGTCGCCGGCATCGAATACTTCGCGTCTAAAAGGAATGCAACACGAAGCAGAGAAGAAACACGAGCGGAGACGGATCAATGCCCTCGTCAGTCGTCAACCCATACAGTATCACGATCGAGTCAGTCAGACGACGACCGTACTTGAGTTTGTAACACACGATGGGCCACAGTCGCGGCGGTACTTGCGCTGCACGCAGCTGCGCCGCGTGTTGTTGCAGGAACCTCTCGATCTCGTGCTCCATAGCTGGTGGTTATTGTCAATTGAAATGACGCAATGGCTACACTTTTTCCGGCCAGTGGATGGATCGTAGATGGGTACATCTCGAGTGTCCTCACTAAGTTCGTTGTGGTACTTACTGACAGAGTGATGGTCACCTGACAATCGGTCATCTTCCGACAAGTTGCTGGGCATGGACAGCAGGCAACTCAACGAAGCGCACGAGGAGTGCATCCATGGAAGCTACGCAATGGACTTCAGCTCAGTCTTTCGTCAGGTAAAGCGCGCTCGCTCGGACGATCGTGTCGACGAAGAGGAGAAGGCGACCCGCACGTTCGCGCCCGACAGGTGGCAGTTTCTCTCGGGTAATACCGTCCGCGCGTATCCCCCAGGAGGGAATACCGACAATGCACGGTTTCTACCGGAAGATACCGGTACTTTAAGGCCCACTGCAATGACTGCGGTAGCCCGTGTGAGTCCGTGGCGGCTACCGAGTCAGCAGTCCATCGCAGAGAGTCAGCAATACCTCAACGATCAGCTTCAACATGTCGTCGCGCTTTCGTCTGTGCTGTTGTCCGACTCAGAGAAGACCACAAGAAACAAGTTTTTGCTCCAAGAGAGAGCAGAACAGGACGATGTGGATCGGGTGTGCTCTTTAGACGTGACGAGTCTATGGACTCTACTGGCAGTGGGCTCAGAGGCTCAGACGCTGCAGCAACAGACGGCTGAGCGCGGGCTGCGAGACGTGTTGGATCTCGTCAGTTTCTTACTGTACGTGCGGGAGCGCGAGTTGGCACACCAGAATCGACTGAGCGAGAGCTTATCGAGAGCCGAGAAGCAGCTGGAGCGGAAGGGCCACATTGTACAGACGTTGGCGTCTGATCTGGAGACTTTCAAGCAGAACAGTGCACAGAGAGAGAATGTGTTGAAAGCCAGGGAGCAGGTTCTATTGACAGAAAGGAAGACGCTGCAGATGGAGAAGAAATCAGCAGAAGTGCACTGTGCAAGGTACGCGCAACTGGAAACACGAGGGCGGCTAGGTTGTGGGGGGTTTTGTTCCGACGATATTGTGATTTCGCAGGCTGCAGGGAGTCGAGACAGCGTACAAAGCGCAATTGCGAAAGAAAGATGTCGACTATGCACGACTAAAGAAGAGTTTGCAGGATGTAGTTGCTCGTGCTGCAAAAGAGAAACGGGTGCGAGGGCATTTTTTGGCGTGTCAAGGTCGGTGTATTTCATCATGGCTAACTTCTGCGACGTGTCCACTTGATGTAGGGTATGGCTATAGCGAAACCGCTGAATGGTGTGCAGGAGCGAAAGCAGATATCAATGACGAATCAATCGAAAGAAAGCAAGTTGACAAAGCAAATCATGGAGAATCTCGAACGGAAAAAAGCTGAGTTGCTGTGTGACAACGAAGCGCTTGCAAAGCGCTACGATACGCTGCAGCATCACTTGCAAGCGCTGACTTCACAGTACAAAAAGGCCGTCCAGCTCTTTCTTGCCCAGTACGTTGGACGCTTGTTATACCGCAGTTACAAGACGTCAATATTGACAATGCACTACTTTACACGTACTGCTTCTCGTACAGGAAAAGCCTAGGCGGAAACAGCGAAGAATTTGAAAAGCTTGCTGGTGCTCCGATTGACGACTTCACTCCTACGCCGTTTAACATGGCCACAAAGAAGGGGATTTCCCAATACATTGCGCGGTCGATGGAGGCTCTGGACAATAGGTTGAAGCAGCTTGAAGAGGCCATTCGTAACGAACTGCCACTAGCGGAAGCTCGCAGCGACAAAGAGGCACTCAAGTGCTTACGCCAGAAGCTAGACGATGCACATGGCATCATCAACGAGCAAGACCAGCTGCTGCAAGCGTCGCTTATTGTGCCTATAGTAGACGTTAGACTCGGTCATGGAACGAGTCAGCAAGGCATGGGGGCAAAAGCGAGTGCAGCGTGTGCCGCGAGATTGAGAAGCTCACCTGACGCAAGTGCTGAGGAAGATCTGGTGCGTGAAAAAAGAGAGCTAGCAGTACTCCGGCAGAATTTGCAAAATGAACGCAAGCTTCTACAAGAACAGGCTATCAAACTTGACAAAGACCGCTTGGAGTTTGAGGTAAGCGGTGGATGATGTATGCTGGTTCTGTATTACAAGCTTACGAGCGTTTCGGTAGATCACCCGGCAGGATCAATTGTTCGGATCGTTTTCGGCTGAAAAACAGGCATCGCCTTCCATCGTAGACAATGCTGATTGTTCCACACCGAAGCGACGATGTCGGGCAAAGGTGTCGGATGTGGACGACATGGACATCCCTTTTGATGTTCCAGTTTCAGGTACGCTCGCATATTTTCGATCGTGCCTGATGAGTCAGCAATGGTAGCTTAATCTTTTGCCAATTTACTGTAGCCACGCCTGAGACGGCTGCTCTGCTGAAGAACATCGGGATCAATGTGCCGACTGAGCAGTGAGTGGCCTCTGTGCGCGAGTATTGGACGAGAAAACTTATTATTATGAACAAGACATCGGTCGAGTTATTGTGGTGTCGGGTCTTATGCGGAGATGTTGCCATGTGGGTAGACTCCGCTCGCCGTATAGAAAGTCTGTCGTATTTGTCTTACGTGACAGCCGAGCTGTCTAGATACGAGCATTCATTTTAGCTAGAAATAAGCTCAGATAAAGTCGACAGATACTGGCCGGAACTCGTCGGCTACGTTGTTATCAGAGGAGCTAAAATTTGCTATCAAAAATATGGATTTTAGCGATATTGTCATATCAAAACTGTTGATTGCAATATATTTCAATGAAAGAGATTTACTTATATCGCCAAATCACCAACTATCTGATTCCTCAATAGTGGAAAAAAACAATCGACAGCGTCAGCGAATATTCCGCAAGCTATGTAAACAAGCCGAACATCTATTAGATCGAACAGTCAGCATGAGCACCTTTCTCTCGAATCCGACTTGGTCACCGAAGTCGACATTCGGATGCGTCGCGTACTCTTGTCGTCGAGCTTCTCCTTTTATTGTATCATATATAGCCTGACCATAATCGTCGCCGACATGGCTTATCGAAAGAACGAAAGTCAGCTACCGCCAGAATTGAGCGTTCTGAGCATCGCATTCACCGCGTGTTTGACCGGCACCTATTGGTCTTTCGAGCAGACATGTGTGTAACTCGGCGTTAGCCACTATTCCCAGACGTTGTTGATAAACGGGCCTTGATGTAAATAGCAAAGTAGCGTAAAGCTAACTTCGTGTCGTTTTGTTTAGACAAAAACACTCCAGTCCCAGCCCACATGCTTACTTCGCAACGTTACTCTTCCTCCAAAAGAGAGTTCTCGTCGATTGACACTGGCAATACGCGAGGGGAATCGGATGAATAAAGTAAGAGGCGAAGCAGGGTCCAGTACTCAAAGTCTGTTACGAACAGCCATTCTGTAGAGCTTAGATCAATAAGTATGTCATTCGAAATCACACAAAACGTTTCTACTGCTTTCACATCACCAGCGGACAACATGCATCGCTAGCCGCACAGTATAGCCGTTTGTGATGTGGATCCACGTTGGAAGGCACCTGCACCCGTTGCTGAAATCGTGGATGTCCTACCATCGATACAAAGCCTTCGTGTGCATCGTATCCGAACCAGGCACAAGTAAAGTAGCTACACAAGTGTAAACTACATCGAGGATCGCTACCCGTTGTGCGATGCCGTGTCTAGTTCTTTGCTGATGAAATTTCTCGCGCTTTCTCTGTCTTTGCATTGGTTTTTTGTTGCTGAACATAGAACTGAGCAACCCGAAACGACGCACGAAGCATTGCTAGCATTCCTTCTGTTAGCCGGTAGTAGCGTGAAACCGATTCAGACGTGTACGTGCATACTGGTGCGTAAAACTCAGCGCAGAGTAGCGGAACCGTGCGCAATCCGCTGTGTTTTTTATGCAGCAGAAATGGTTGCGTCATACGGTAAAAGCAGAACATGCAGCGGTCGTTCGCAGAATCGCATCGATGAGAACTCCCCGTCAATAGCGACAAGCAGTAATCGTGCATTAGACTATCAGTGGAAGCTTCCAAGGTGGTGGCAGCACAGTTTATCCCACAAACGCACGTCCGGTGACAAGCTCTTCGTTGGCAGGACCATCTCAATGCTCTGCATCGAGCTCTAGAAAAAAACGGCGATGACTGTCGAGCAGATTGCAGACCGCTGTTCGACCTTAAAAGGTGAGTGGAATCGCTCAATTATTCGTACGAGGAGCACATTGTGGCTTTCTGTTGTTCTGCATGCAAACAATAGCTTGAAAAACAGATCAACGAGCGGAACTAGCTGGACCGAGAAACGGTCTACAGATGCAGACCGCTGTTCGACGTTTGCACGCAGTCCTTGTCGTAGCATTGACACACAGCATTGCACACGCTGCTCCTGGAAAAAGATAGGCTCGTTCTGACTCATCGATTGAGAAGCAGAGTCAATCGCGCTGAGTGGACGTGCGGAAGCACGCGGGCGGATGGGACTTGACGTCGTTGCTGACCAAGTGTCAAAACTCGTGAGTATATCCAACGGTATCCATGGGCGTCAAGAACGCCTATCAACCTAAGGAACGACGAGCTGTGGTCGATCCGAAGCATTGTTTGACACTCGCTTTTCTTCCAGCATCGAGCGAAAGAGTCAGACGTGTCTATCCAGACTTTGATGGTCGCAAGATGTCGACGTGCGCTCTCTCAGCATAGAGGAGAGAGAGAGAGAGACGTGGCGACTCGGTCTTTGGTGATTGCAGGATATCTGTCTGATACATCCTCAGCGTTTTTCGCAACGCCCGTTCCTCTTGCGAGTCAGGCGGTCGTACAGCGCTGGTCTGGCAACTTTGCTTTGGCATAGCAGCAGAGATTTGCTCCTTCTGTTTTGCGTGTCAGACTGCGGGTTTTCCCGCTTCGCTCCAGCGCGGAGTTCCCTCGTGTCTGTTTCCTACAGTTCTCTGACGCTGACTTCAATGAAGACGCTGCACGCAGGAACGTTCCTCGCTTTTGGTGTACCCACAAGTTAGTGATACAAACACTGCCCAGTGTCTGCCATACATACGTCTACATCTTCTGATCCCTCGTCAGGACGGCCACGAAGGTGATGGCCTCCCTGTATGCGCTCTTTCGTCATCGTGGGTCACAACACAGTGTGCCACGAAGTAACATGCGAAAGACCTGAGGTGGATCAGGAAGAAGAGCCGACGTCACATGATGACTCAATGTGAAGAAAGCCAACTATCGCTGTCGAGAAATCGAAAGTCAGGCGTAACGTCGCTGTCGTTTGGCTCAGTGCCACCGGTACACAGGTCCAATCGTGTCGCCATTCGCCCATCAAAAGCATGAGACCGTCGACGCTGTTAGCTGGTGGCTCAAGACGGAAGCGACGAACCCATTCCGATGCAAACGACCACCAGAGCTGACTCACGTCGCACGGCAGTGGTCATGTTGCGTGCTACACGTTCGCTCGATCCTGACCGTAACCTCATGTAAATCATGTGTCAGTCACGGCAGCCCACGCGCAATGTGCGCCTCGTCACCGACACCCCGTCGCACAAAAGAGCAGGCGGCGGTTTGTCCATCTTCACCTTTGCTTGTATCCGCCTAAGCCCCGCCGCAACGGCTTCTAAGAACCGCAACGCATTCGAGTCTGAATCTCGATCAACTCGTCGTGGCTGATCCTTCGCACGGTCGCAATCTTTGGGTCCTCTGGTCGTTTTCGAGGCCGCGTCCTGTTCTTGCGTGTCGGTGTCGATTTCGGTGGAGTCACGACGGCTCTACCCGTCGACGGTCAGCTCTTTTCCACTAGAAAAGTGACCTCATGCATCGCAAAGCTCTTTCTGCGTGTCAAGCGCACGCTCAACTCAACGCTCTCGTCCGTCCGTCCGTCCGTCCGTCGAGGGAATGCCGTGACACGGAAGCGCTCCCGACCATTTCAGCGTCCACCCGCTGCTGCCCCTCCATCGCAGTCCCTCAGCCAGTGCAGTAATCGCAAGAGCTCTTCTCGCACGGCGCGTGCATCCTACGCGGCGCTTCACGTGACACACGAGCCCTTCCTTGGGCTGGCTATATCCACGTGGCACGCGGGCCGAGGATTGGTCCGCGACTGCCGCTCTCGAAGGCAAGAAGAGCCTCTCGCGAAAGGCTCGTGGTCGCCGTCGCGTCGACGACAAGGACGAGGCGCTTTACCGTCTGGCAGAGTCCATCATCATCAAGTCATTTGTCGTCCGTCTGCTTCTCTCTTCTCGCTCCTCTTCTTCTCTGCTGCTGCTTCTTCTTCCGGTTGTTGTGGTTCGTCGTCTATTGTTGTCTCGAGCCCGCGCTCAGGTCTGTCCGTAAAGGGGCATGACGTTCTGTGCCGGAAGAGAAGACGACAGCCACAGCTCTCGCAGCGCCAGCGGTTGGCCCGAGGACGGCTGGAGAGCTCCTGTGGTCGCTGACGAAGAGGGGCACTGGGCTCAAGTCGGCAATCGTCGGGGCAAAGACGACGCGGCGATGCGCGACATGTTTGCAAAGCAGCTCACGGACGTGTCGCGGGTCTCCGTCGAGAGCCTCTCGTGGGATCTGCCGGGCCACGAATCCAGTGGCGACGACGACGACGACGACGGGTCGTCCGCGTTTGTGCTGCCCACCGCGTCGGTCAGCCCGACCGCAGAAGCTGATCCGCTGCACTGGGACCTCATCTCGCCGTGCTCCGAGACGTCGTCTTCTCGATCCCGCGTCTCGTCTCCGTTGACACACGTGTTGCGCTCGTCTCGAGGCAGTGAGCTGAAGGGGTCCGAGCACGAGTCGGAAGGTACGCACGCGATGATGAAAGCCAGCGCTCAAGAGCTGGTGGCGGAGGAGGAGCTGGAGGAGCTGGAGGAGCACGAGCAGGAAAGAGGTTACGACGTGCAGGTTGAGGAGGAGGAGGGGGCGACGGCAGATGACTCGACGACGTGCTGGGTACCTGACGTCTGCAGTGTCCTGTCGTCAGCTGCAGTCACTCCAGCGCCGGTGAACCCGTTTGCGGGTCACCCGTCGGCTGCGCTGGCAGAGACGCGGGACCAGTCAACCCACGAAGTCCGTAGCACCTGCGACGAAGCCACGCGACTGCGTCGGCCGAGTCTCTTGCCCCGAGTTCCCATTGCTGCGCCCTGGAGACGACCAAAGGCCCGCACGTGCTCGGGCGCGGGATCGGCAGCAATGGCTCTCGCTGCTGTCAAGGCGCGCGCGCGCTCAGTGTCTCGTGCGGGGCGGCACCCAGTCACCGTCAAGGACGACGAAGACGACGGCGACTTTTCGAGCGACGATGAGGGGTACAGACCAGCGCTGCCTCGCCGCAGCGTGGATGAGATGGAGCCCAGTCAGGCGGATCAGCGGCGACGAGCAGCGAGTACGGGCTTTGCCAGGCGTCGACTAAGCGTGAACGTTAGCATGAAACCGGCGATGGTGGCCAAGCACCTGCAGGACGCGGTGGACAAGCTGAACAGTCAATTGCACCTGCTTCGATCGGGTTCGAGCGCTTCGACCGCCATGAGTGAAGAGAGCTACCTCGAGAGTCCTGCGTATCAAGAGGTGATGGCCTCGCCGACTCGTGCATCGAGCATCCGCCTGGACGCTGCAACGCCCGTGCGGCTTATCAGTGCCGCAAACGCGTGCTCTGCTGAGAGCGACCCACAACAGTCGACACGTCAGCAGAAGCTGCGTGCAGGCGTGTTCAAGGCCGCTGGGCTGTTGAACGTCGTGTCAGCTGAAGCCGCGCGGAAGCTCAAGTCGCGCGGCTTTCGTGGTCGACAAAAGGCCGCGAGCGAGACGGAAGAAGAAGATTCCGAGTTCTCGTCGCCGTATTCTGGGACGCTGGACATTTAAAAAGCCTACACATGGCAGGTATAAGCGTGAATACGACGTGGATGTTGTGTATGTTAAGTTCTCACCTCTCTTCTTGGCGCTGAAAGTGCGGCACAGACTACTCGTCTTTATCGTCCTCTTCTACCTCTTCTTCGTCGGTGTCCTCGCTCTGGACGACCGTGATCTTCATCTCGTTCTCCAGATCGCAACCAGCGTAGCCATCGCAGATCACGTATAGCTGAAAAGTGTGGGCACCGACCTCGTCCGGGGCAGTAAACTGCAATGCCACGCTTGCCCGCGCGCTTGCAAAAGGTACGCGTTTGATGCTCAATAGCGTGTTCTTCGACGAATCACCCAGGACCACCCACCAGTTCTCAGCTTTCTTCACAGGGTAATGACACGCGTTTACAAGACCTAACTCCTTGGACTCGTCCCGTTCCTCCTCGTCCTCGTCCTCTTCGTCGACTCCTTCCCGCTCGAGCTGCACCTTAACACTCACAACAGATCCCTGCGGCAAATCTTTGCCATCCCGCTGGATCGTTGTTTGCACTGTCACATCCGGAAAAGCGTTGCAGAACTTTGCAACCGCCGACATCTTCTGCGCATCCAGAGGCAAAAGCTTCATGCGTGCATCATCTTCCATACTCAATATATCCACAGGCGTCTCAATCTCTTCTTTCAGGTCCATTTCGCCCAGTTTCTCAAGCGTTTCCTGGTTGAAAAACGGAATCTGAAGCAACGGCGAGTCGCTGCTCCATTGTGCTTGCACGACCATCTGTGCAAGATCCATGGCCGCCAGCGCGGGTTTGAGCCACCCGTTCGAACTGATCACGTCCACCATAGCATGCAAAAGACGCACAGCGTGACGTAGAATAAAGTCCAGATCCCGGCGCAACGCCGGGCTGAGGCGGTCGTGTTGCTTACTAAAGTGAACCTGTAGTAGCACGTTCGTTTTCACGTGAGCCTGGCCGTAGTCTCCTCCAGCTGCCACAGGAAACTTGAGATGCTTGGCTAAACTCTCTAGCTTCTTGTCTTCGCCAAATCGACTTGGCAGGTCGCTGAACTCAGCAGCAGATGACAGAATGGTCAAAAGTGCACGCACTTTCGAATCTGCCTTCAGGCTGCATGCGAATAGCTCAATCGTGACGTACTTGATGTAGTAATACGCTGCGATCATCCCAAGATTCAGAGGCAACAGACGTTCCTCGCCTTCATTTTCGTCATCCCCCTCTTCCTCGACAACCTGGATACAGCGAGACTCTTCCAATGCGTTGACAGTCGTCTCCACAAGCTCGGACAAATGGTCGGATAAGTGCACGTTTGTAGCGCCCTGTAAATTGTAGTAATTGGGGTTCTTCATGAACCGACGATACATGAAGGTCCACGTGAGGTAATCCACCGCATCTTGCTTGCTCTCAATGCTCTTCGTCACAATCTCAGCATTGATGTGGTCGCTGAGAAAATGTTCAAGCTGCGATTCCACTGGCAGAGGGTCGTACAGGAACTTTGCATAAAACTTCTTCTTCGAAGCGTGGCAGAAAAGAACACACTTGACCGCGGAAGAAGCAACGTGGTTGGCAAACTTGGTCATACGGAATACGTCTGCGAGCTGGTAATCCACATACCGGTGTTCCCGTCCGTCGTAAAACTGCGTACCCATGATGACTACCATAAACGCATTGATCTGAGCACTGCGCAGTTCCCATGCCATTGATTGCGGGACAACCAACACCTGAACTTTGCCGGTTGCAAACCTGTTCAACACATACTCGCGGTTTCGCAGAGCCATCGTGTCGGTGCAATAGCCAACGCCGCTCTCCATCGTGTGCAGCAAAGCAGCTTCATCCAACGGCAACTTTACCTTGTCGTTTGCTGAGTGAGACACAAACTTCTGCGGGTCGTTTTCAGATAAAGAAAAGGTGATCAGATCAATCGCAGTTAGCTGAGCCTGCTTGGCCGACGGTACAAACACGACAACGGGCTTCTTTTCTGCTTGGTTTGCGACAGTATTGTACAATGGTTTGGCCATTGCTAGCATGCGGGACGAAAAGTCGGTGATTTCAAAGCCTTGTACTCGAATTTCCATCGGCTGCGGGCGAACATTCGGGTGGAAATTGAAAATTCCATCCGATTCACTGGCGCCGAGCCACTCACCGACATCGCGAGCGTTTGCGATAGAGTTACTCAGGGCCAATATACGCATTCGTCTACCCTTCTCACCTGCTGCTTTCTTCTTCTTGTCCACGTCGGCGGCAATGAACCGCATACGCGACATCACGATTTCAATCGTAGGTCCATACTCGCCGCCCCCTACGAAGTGAGTATCATCCAAAAGAAACAAGCTGATAGCTTGGATGCGCTTGCGCTGTTTCCAGCGCCGGGAGAGCACGTCCCACTGTGTTGGTGTGGCTATCAGGATGTTTGCGCTGGCGAGCAAGCGCAAATCGGCGGTCGAGTCACCGGTGAGCTCGACGACCTTTTGCCGCCAAAAGCTATCCTCGCCAAATTTAGCTTGCCAGTCGTCGTTCTTTTCATGACAAATCGCTTCTTTCGGACTCAAATACACAACCAAGTGCTCACCGTACTCGTTGCTCTTAGGGTCAGGCTGGTCCAGAGAAAGCAGTGTTTTCACAATAGCGAGCTCTGCCAAAACGCTCTTGCCACTTCCGGGTGGAGAGCCAATGAAAAGGTTACTCTCGGACTCGAGCAAGCGAGGCAACACCTGCGTTTGAATGGGATTAAAGCGCTTGAACCGCCACGCGTTCGTTGCTTTACCAGCATTTGACAGAGACTCGAGAATGGACTCCGCAATCTCCCTCTTGCCACCTGCAAGCTTCAAGAGAACGTTATTGACAAAGAGTGGCTGGAGGTCGAGCAGTTCGGTTGGAGGTACGTTCTTTTGCGGAAGTATAAGCTTGTGGAATGACACCGGCAGTGAGCTTTCGCAATGAATCCACTTGTCGGAAATCACCTTGATGTAGTACAGAGGAGCCAAAGGCTCAAACAATGGCATCGTGAAACTCAAATACGTTTCTAATGAGGCAAAGCGGCGCTTGATCAACAGCCATTCGTGGTGGAGAATGTTTTCACCGTCGACATCATGTACAAACACCCAAAATCCCTCAGCATTACCGTGCACTTCCCGCGTAAATTCAAAATCTGGCGTCACAACCAAATCTACCTTCAGCATTGAGCGAGTGATCGGCTGCACATGGGCCGAGAGCTCTAGTTTTGGAAACTGATGAATCATCTTGTACAGCTGTTTTCCATAGTGTGGGTTGTTTATGAGCTGGCCGAGATCAGCGGGTTCCAGGTCATTGTACTTTTCCCACGAAATATCCTTCTTCTCAATTCGCTTCAAAATAGTGTCGGACAGTCCCGGAACAAATTGACGAAGAGGTGAGTGTGAGAGCCACATACGCTTGTCGACCATTTTGCAGAAACTAAGCATTCGCTCAGCAAGCGAGGCCCAACCTCGGTTTAAGCAAATCTCAAATAGCGCTCTGAAAATACGCGCTGCCGATTGATGGATGTGCGCCATGTCTGCTAAAAGCGCAAAACCGTCTAACCTCAATCGCGAAATATAAGCTTGCAGCAAAACGTTCACTTTTGCCGACCCACTTCCCACTGCAACGCTTCCAGGAGCTGTAGACATCAAGGATTCTTTCACTGGAACAGGCACACGTTCCAAAAGCTTCGTCAGCTCCAGCTTTTCCTCGGATCGGACAATAACATACTTGAACTCATTCGAAAGGGAAAACAGCCGTAAGATCTCGATGTCCGACATGTGAGGTTTCAAATACTCATTATACGTGCTGATCGAGTCGTGAACGATGTAATAATGGCTTGCCACACGACCAAGCGCAGTTACTTGAAACGATCCCGAGCGCCGCTCGTACTTTATCAGGTTGTGTTTTGCCAACAGCGTCGCGGCCGAGTGCACCAAATCCGTGCGATACTGCAGCAGTGTCGGGTCTTCGTTGCGGTCGGCAATCGAGACACCGTACAATGTCGGGTTGCGCAACATGCGGATAAATAAATACGTATAGCCTAGCCACGTCGCTGCCTGGGACACGTTTTGCACGCTGCCCACCACAATTTCAGCATTCAAGTTGTCAGCCAGCTTCCCCATGAGTTGCGACTCCACTGGCAGCTGCTGATTCATCAACGACAAGTAGTAGGTCAGCTGTGAGTGCTGTGTAATAATGATGCCCTCGCCTTGCGTGTCGAACTGCACACGACCAGCGCGGCCCAGCATTTGCAATATGTCCAGTGAACTTAGTTCACACCAATCACCTTTCTCTGCGTTGTAAATCTGAGTGCCCTTTATTATCACCGTATGCGCTGGCAAGTTAACGCCCCACGCCAACGTCGACGTACTGACGAGCACCTTTAAGTGACCATCAGCAAACGTGTTTTCCACGAGCGTGCGCTCTTGGCGCTTCATACCAGCGTGATGGGTACCAAAGCCGTACGGAAGGAGGTCTTTCAAAGTCTCGTTGTGCTCGATTTTGTCGGCTTCCTGCAAAAGTACCTCGCTAGAGGCAGAATTCGGTTTGATTAGTCGAGCAAGCGCATCGTTTTCCAAAAACAAGTCCCGCAATGCCTGCGCTGTTGAGGTAGTCTCTTTACGCGAATGCACAAATATGAGGACCTGGTTGTCCAGCTCTGCCTGCTCCATCACCTTTTCGTAACAAATCTCATTCATCAACGCGAAACGCTTGACTGCTTTCTTTTCCATGATACCAATGTACTGCTGTTGAAGAGGCACAGGACGGTAACTGGAATCGAAGTAGAATAACCCTTGCGCGGGATCGACGCGCAGGAACGCTGCTACGTCCTCGTAATTCGGAAGTGTAGCAGAGAGACCAACTAGCCGAACCATCTGCTGTGTGGCTTCCACATTCCGAATCGTACGGGCAACTAGAGCCTCCAACACTGGACCACGAGTGTCATGCAGCAAATGGATTTCGTCAATGATCACTAGACGCACAAGCTGGGTGTACGTGCGATCATCCCCGGACTTGCGCGTGATGATATCCCACTTTTCGGGTGTCGTGACAATGATCTGTGTATTGAATAGCTGCTCGCGGGACAGGTTCTGATCTCCGGACAGCTCTCGCACTTGAATACCGTAGGCACTAGATAATCTGGCGGAAAGATTGAGCACAACTTCTTGCACTAGCGCCTTCATCGGAGCCACGTAGACAACTTTGAACGAATCCAAATCAATTTCGCCAGTCTCGGGGTCACGAGCCTTCATGACCTCATGCAGAATGGTCAGCATTGCGACGTTCGTCTTACCCGCACCTGTCGGAGCACACAGCAACAAATTTTCACTCGTTTCGAAAGCTGTCGAAAACATTTTCGACTGCACACGATTCAACGATTCCATGCCACTGAAAGCACCCTGTGCCCACGCCGGTAGTGTCGAGATCTTTATGCGCGCCTTTTCTTCGGCAACAGCCATCTTCGTGCGAACAGCAGGCACGTGGACCTCTTCGTAACCCTTTTTCTGCGCACGCCACGTGCCTTCAGGCAGGCGGCACTCGCGATTGCTCATCAGGTGCCCGCCTTCCTGAAATGCAAGAGACTCGACGTCCACATATCGCTGTGGCTTTTTGGTCTGTACACCTTTCTTTGTCTCTTCCACGACATCTCTGCTTACGCCATCCATATCGACATCGTCATCAGACTCATTGTCATGGGCCTGCGTGCGCTGCCCACTAGACTTGTGTTGCAATTTACGCAGTTTGTTAGCCTCCGCACGGGACGTGGTTTCCCTAGCGCCAATGCGATCCTGCATCCATGAGTCGGCTGACGCCGTTGTGCGCAACTGGTCTAAGATAGCGTTCCCTTCGCCGTCATCCAATGTCTCGTCGACTCGCATCCCGTCTTCAATACGACGTCGCTCCTCGTCGTTCTGAGCCTGTTTCAGCCTCGTGCAGTACAGTACCTTTGCTCTGTTCTCTAGCAACAATTTGATGAAGTCAAACTTGTCGTAATCTAGCAGCAACACGAGCTTGTTTTCGCAAGCGCTAAGGTCACGACCTGCTACCTTCAGAATGCTCAACACATCTTCTGCGAGCTTGGCACTGATCTCTGCGTCCTTGTAAAACTTCGACAGTTCACGCTGAAGCCAAAATGCGTCGATTGCATGCACGTCTAGACGGTACTTGGCGTCAACATGCTCTTCCTCGTCGTACCCGTCCTTCATCTTCATAGCTGCACGTCCAGCAACCGTCGCGTCCTGCTCCTCTTCTTCTTCATCTCCTTCGTCTTCCTCGTCTTCGTCCTTCACTTCATCCAGATCCGACTCTTCTTCCTCGTCTTCGTCATCAAAGACCACCGCTACGCCCATCTCCTTGTCCACTTCTTCGTCACTCTCTACCAGCGTCGCGTCTTGTCGCTCCTCGTCCTTCTTCTGCTTCTTCGCCGCCTTGTCGTCACTGTCCACGTAAAAGTCCGTAATCTGCTTCCCAGCTGCTACCACCTGACTAAACGTATGCGTCGAGATGCTCTTTAGCAGTTTTTGCACCTCTCGATGCTTCTCGTCGTCTCGGTACGCGTCCGTCTTGAGAATCGCCAGCACTTCTTCGGCCGCGCCGGCCAAGATCTCGCCCGGCTGCGCGCCCAACTGCTGCGCCACAACGCTCAGTATCTGCTCGTACGCGTCCTGACTCGCGGCATTGCGCGGTCGGTACGCCGCCGCCTCGAAGGCCGAACTCTCTTTGAGAATATTACTTTTGGCAGTGGCGAGACCGCCCGTGGCGGTAAACAACACGCCATCGCCGCGACCCGCCCGATCGTCCGCGTCGTCGCGTCGTTTCTTCCGCCTTTTCTTCCCCCCCGACGCCTCGTCGGTCTCCCCGTCTTTGTAGCGCTTGCGACTGCTCTGCGGCGTGGCCTTCTGCGCGCGGTCGCCCATGCGGTAACTGATCTTACCCGCCAGCGACTCGACCTCACCCGTCGGCTCGTCGGGTCGTCGGCGCGACTCGCTGTCTGCCTGCAACACTAAGTTGGAGTTCTGCTGGTACGCATACTGCCGCGAACGCGCGACCTCTTCCGCCATTCTGCTCGACCAGAGTGATGGTCTTTCCGCCGTCTCCAAGCGTTTCCTCTGTACCTGGGGGAGGGGGATTCGAACCGATTAGTATCGGTAGGCTACTGGTTTCGTTTCTCCTCGCGACGCAAACACGATCGGTATAACCGTGACCTGGCAAAGGTCCACGGCGAAAACCGATATTGTCTGCGAGAACGTTGTGGTGCGGTATCCTCACGGACGAATAGCTCGACACAAAAAGAGCGGATTCCATACGATCGGTGTACAGTCAGAATCGGTGTCGGATGCTAATGAAGCTGGAGAGTATGCGATAACAAAACCGACTGAAGGCGTGATGCGTAGCACTTGAACGCTGAGAATGTATGGTGGTGGCGCTCGAGCGCGGTCGATAATGCGTGCTGTCTCATTCATTGGTGTTTGTTGTTCGGGTCAACACTGTCGCGTCGATGGCCATACACTGTCAGAAAGGACCAGCTTCAAGCACGCCTGCACAGACTGCCGCACTGCAAATACCGTCTATCTCGGCAGTCTTTCTTGGGTATACATTGTATGTGCTGCAGTTATCACGCTGCGTGCACATTTGCTGCAGAACGGCTGCCTAGTCAATTACCGATTGGAGCGCATCCGCACTGTGGAGCAGATCGGGTGAATTTGTGGTGTTGGTGATTGAAACGACAGAGGCGCGTCGAGCACCAGTACTTCCATAAAACCGGTATATGTACTGCTTGAACCGCACATCCTGAGCTTCCATTTCGACCGCCACTCCCCCAGGCAAAGAAGATGCCGAGCGTACAGGTGACGAGCAACGTGCCTTCTACTGGCGTAGACAAAGCCAACGTCATGGCTGCGATCTCCAAAGGTGTGGCCGACGCTCTGGACAAGTCGGAGCAAGTCGTGATGGTGCAGTTGAACCTGGACACACCCATGTTCTTCCAGGCTACAGACGCCGTAAGTGCTGTACTGCCTCCTCCCACTCCTTCTTCGACCTGTGCTGATCCACGATGCCACTGTGTGTCACTGTAGCCATGTGCGATGATTCAAGTTCGAAGCATTGGAAAAGTGGACGCCCAGCACAACCCAAAGGTACGAACGTACGTACGCGCCAGCTCTCAGGTGCAAAAGGACGAAGCACACAGACTAACAGTGCTGTTGACTGACTGCTCTTACAGACGGCGTCAGTACTGACCGAGACCGTAAGCCGAGAGCTGAACATCGCCGTGGACCGTATCTTCATGACCATTGACGACGTGCAGCGTCAGAATTGGGCCAAGGGTGGCGTGCTCGTGCCGGAGCCGAAACATTGAGCAGTGCGGCTCGCTTGCTGAGCAGCTCTGGTTCAAGTGGGACGTTGCTGGTACAGAGCTAGGCTGTGAATAATACCGCAAGTGCTTGGGCTCTGTTCTTGTGTCGGGACCGCGCTGTAGTGAAACTTGTGTGACGGTCTGACAGCCAAAGTAGAGACGGCAGCCACTTCGAACACGATCCGTACCTCACAAGCCCCCAAATAGATAGGGTCCACACAGTAATTGGTCTAGTGGGTTAATGGTCCAGTCTGGTACTGACAGTAGCATTGGCCCAGCGTGTTTATTTCCCCCAATTATCCGCTAACAGAAATACGGGTAAAACATATCTGCTGACAAATGTTCACATTGACATCTTAATTTATGTCCGCAGCATGCAGCGGGCTCATTCCGTTGAGACCATCGCAACAAAGGCACAATTTTACTGCATCGGTCATGTGGAAGATGCACTGTACGCACAACAACTAAATATCTACAAACCTTACCGGCGTTGCAAGAAACAGAAGGAGTCGCTTCGGAATGCGCGGGATAGCACCCGCTCCCAGAGCGCATGTTGCGTTCTACGTCTGACGCGGTCTACATGTATAAGAGAAGCGTAGATGACCAAATGTTGGAATCCAGCAGGAAAAAAGCGCAGCATGACGATATCTTGCGCGTGGACGAACACCTTCGTGGGTTCGAATGTGCCACATTCGCGTGCGTGGTACAAAGCTACAAAGTATTGTTGCTTTTGTGGTATGAATCGAGAAGGCGATCAAGCCACGTGAAGGAGCTGGTACGTGTAACAAGGCACCACTTGTATTTAGCATGTACACCTTGTACAGAATGGTTATAAGATCCTGAGTGCAATACTAGGAATGCTCCAGAGCATATACAATCGCCGAGCAACAACATTCATTTCACCGTATACGGTTTGCATGAGCAAACGTTTGGTGCTTCAACGAGCTAGAAAGCGCGCGACAATCGATTGGCAGACCTGGACGATGCTACAGCTGCTGCCAGTCTCTCGGCCGACTAGCAGCACAAAGGAAACAGCAGTAAGAAGAGGCGAAGCCAAACGTCATTTAGTAACCCCACCAAAAGAAATTGTTACCTCACTTCGTGTGTGCAGTCGTACCGAGTCGCCACGTGCGGCTTTTCCTTTCCGCTCACTCTTTCATTCGCCACCATTCCCAGTCCCATCTTCAGTTTTCTCATGGGTTTCTGTCGTACGTCCAGCAAGTCGTCTTCTGTCGAGCCAGTACCAGACGAGGGCAAGTTTTGGACCTTCTGAACCTCATGTAGCTGCAGCTCGTGGTGTTTGCGAGAGGCATAGACTTGACGACCGAATCGATTCCCAGCGGCAGCATCTATCGGCCAGTCTGTCGTCGGGATTTGGACTTGTCTGTGCACATGCCATTGCCGCTCCTGTCGTTCGCTCTCGGGCGTATTTGTAACGGGGCAGCCCGTTACATGATATTGTCACTTAAGGAAAGTGACAATAAAGAATATAAGATGGATATTCTTTAAAACAATATCACCAAAGTGGTGATATTGAAGGGTCGACCAAAGGGTCTGTTCATTGGTTGATATCGTGATGATATCAACCCACCAATCGCCGCAAGACGCGCGCAATGAGTGGTGACGAGACGTCACCATACATGCAGTTATATTAGTATAATTGAATTAAGTCAAACGAAGAGACAGTAGTTTAGAGACTTAATTATATTAATATAACAGTTCTACTTTTACCCTACCTACGCTTCCTCGCTCGCCACGTGTACGTCCGTCGGGGCACCCAAATCCCTTGCGTTAAGTTACGCAAGGGTGTGCCCCGTTACACCTGGTAGCACTTTGTAGTCCTTCCAAGGACCACATCATCCAACATGAACATGTTGGATGAAGAAGACACCTTTCACGCCACGCGTGAAGGGTTTACCCATTTGAGTGACATCGAATGGGGTGCGGTAGAACGAATGAGTTCTACCGTAGGCGAACTCGTCGTCAGCACCATGTTGGAGTCTCTAGACAGAGACCAACAACATGCTGCTATCGCCAAGTTCATTCACAATGAACTTGCTCTCGAGAGGGAGAAAGTAGCCTTGCTTCACCAGCAAGGCTCTCAACAGGCCGAGCAGTTGAGAGAACTCGGTGCTCAACAGACGGAGCTGTTGAAACAGCAGCAATTCCATGCTGCTGTGGGCGGGACGGCGCATGCGCGTCGTCCCGAAGTGATGAAAGTCGACATCTCCAAGTACAGTGGAGTCCCGGAGGACTCCCTGTTACTATGGTTTGTCGAACTCGACAGAGCCCTAAGGGCTCGTCGCGTCGAAGATGAGCAAATGAAACTCACATTTGCTCAGACCCACTTGGCAGGGCGTGCCAAAACTTGGTCCCTGGGACTCGAGAGTAGCGACCCAAATGTGTTTAGGTCGCTAAATGACTTCAAGTCCCGGCTCAGACAAACGTTTGAGCCGCCACGTGCTGAGTTCAGGGCTCGTTCAGAGCTCCTGAAACTCAAGCAGGGTAAGCGTGATGTGCACGCTTACGCACAACATATACGACTCCTTGCGAGTAGTATAACTGCAAACCCAGTTCATGAACACACGTTGATTACGGTGTTCATGCAAGGGCTCGCAGAAGGGCCCGTCAGGAGCCACCTGTTCCGCCTTGAGCTGAATACGCTTGAAGAAGCGATATCAGCCGCGGAACAGGAAGACTTTAGCATGAGACAGGCTCATGCTAGCTCAAACTCTTACCGTCCACCGAGACGACAAGAGATCGGAGGTCCAGAACCAATGGACCTCTGTTATGTTGAGAGCGAGAGACCTCGCTCTACAAGCAACAAGCGATTGCAGAGGTGCAATCGCTGTCAGAAGTTAGGGCACTACGCATACGAGTGTAGTGCTCCGCGCCCAGTACCAAACAGTACTGAGCGAAATGGACGACCATTCGCCAGAAAGGGCAATGGGCGTGGGTCCAGCGCTGTTGCGAAGCCGCAACAGCGAGACGGGCCATCAAAAAATGGTCGGGGTCAGTAGGGGCGGAGCGCCCTACTGATCCAGCAACCTCAAGAGAATTTGCAAACCTTTTGACGAAAGTTGCTCCAGATACACAATCATTGTGTGTCTCTGCACCTGGTGATGACGTTTCGCTCATCACCTTGAAGTTGGAAGCGACAAATGACTTGTCGCTTCGTGCCCTAGTAGACTGTGGGGCGTCGAACAACTTTGTTCGTCGCCAGTCACTAGAGGGTCGTAGGCTCAAGTTCGTTGAGCGCGACATTCCCCTCACAAGGATGACGGTGCGCCTTGCAACAGGCGCATCGATAACCGTTGAGAAACGTGTAGTAGGAATCCACTACACGTTAGAGGGCGAGCAGTACGATGATGATTTCATCGTACTAGATCTGGATGACAAATTTGATGTCATCCTGGGATTACCTTGGCTCAGAAAATACGAGCCAAGGGTGAGCTGGCAGCATCGATCCGTGAAGATGCCTGCTGCTTGTTCATCAGATGGCCATCTGATGAACATCTTGGAGCGTCCACAAGCGTGTGGATGTTCTGCGAGTGAGTGCGATGGCCTCACTTGCGGTACGGTCGTTAGCACGACTGCACAAGGTCACAGTGTAGTTGATCACTACACTGTGGAGCAAGCTCCCGGCGGCTGTACAGAAGTACAGGCTGCGCCGAAGGTCCACCACTCGAATAAGTCGAGTGGACCGGGACATGGATGCATGCCTAGCGGGCAGCATCTTAGAAGAAAGAAATCTGTTGCCCCCAAGGGGCAACATGAAAATCCTAGGTCGACTGGAGAGTCGACCGTAGAGGATCGGTTCCTGACTGTGGTTGCACAGCCACAGTCGGAAGACGTCGAGGGAATAAGTCCCCACGTACTTGAGGAAGGAGTTCCTCAAGAGTTGCTTGCTGAGGGATTAGGCCCTCAGCAACCTGTGGAAGCAAGATCCCAGGAAGAAACCGAGACGTTGAACGTCTTGGTTAATGACGGATCAAGCGTAGGCGCTTATACGCTTGATCTGATTGTGCCTCCGAAGTTGACTTCGGAGATAACTCAGTTGCCAACGCTAGAACCGAAACGGTTCTTGCGTGATCTGCGTAGTGGCAAAGTCAAGCAGATCTGCGTACTCGTCACAGAGGACGAGTATGTGACCGACATTCGGTCGGCAACAGTATTTGCTGAGAACGAACGGGTTCTCAGCAGCTCATCGATGGACGAAAGTGTCCTCGATGAGAAGACTCGGATTGAGCGATACGCGTCCCAATCCTGGGAGTCACTTCAGGCAAATCCTTTGTATAAGGATTTGATCGAATTCAGGGATGTGTTCCCTGAATCCGTACCTTGCGAGTTGCCTAAGGACAAAGGCACTCGACACGAGATCGAGCTCAAACCGGGCTCGAAATACTGTGTCATGAAGCAGTGGCCACTGCCTCGTGAACAAGTGATAGCGATCGACAAGTTCTTTGCCGATCGCTTAGCAGCGGGCCATGTGAGGGAATCAACATCCCCTCACAGCTCTCCGACCTTCTGTGTGCGAAAGGCCACAGGAGGGTGGCGGATAGTGCACGCATTCAACAAGTTGAATGCTGCAACGGTACCGGCTCAGACGCCGATACCGAGGAAGGACGTAATCATAGATGGTATGTCAAAGAGTACCATCTTTTCGTCCATGGATCTGATGGATGGATTCTATCAGATCCTGATGCGTGAACGGGACGTCCCGTTCACAGCAGTGAGTACCCCCAGCGGGATGCTGTGGGAGTGGCTAGTGATGCCACAGGGGCTGAGTAATGCCCCTGCAACATTCAACAGATGTGTAACAAATCTGTTGAGACCGGTGCGGGACTTCGCACCGAGTTACTTCGACGATGTGTTCGTCCATAGCCGGGCTATGGACGGGAAGACGGACGTTGAAGTTCACAGAACTCACGTTCGTCAGGTTCTTCAACTTATGCGCAAGCATAAGTTGTACGCCAACCTCAAGAAGTGTATATTCGCGGCTA